AGTGCCCAAAAAAAAATTTTTTTTTTTTAAAAGAAGACAAAAATTTTCTTTGAGAACAGATGAATTTTGTTCTTTTTGGTCCCCCGTTACAAATTAGTTGTAAAAATCAATTAAACACGTACAGCGCCAAGAATCTGACAAGTCCTCCAAAATATTAATAAAAAAGAAAACAAAAAACTAAAATATAAAATATTGAAAATGAAAATTTTTTGTTTCCAATTTTATTTTTTACATTTCAAGACATCAACCAGAATTTTAGATGTAAATAACTTGTAAATTATGTCCATTCTTATATAAAAATTCATTTCGAAATGAATATAGGTATAGTATAAGAAATAATAAATTCAAGTACAAAACGATTCAATTTTCTAAAAATAAACTTCACGCGAATAAAGAGGAAAAAAAAAAACAAAATTTAAAACACTGAACATGCAGTGGCACTTATAAGTAAAAAAAAATTGCTCTTATTTCATCTTTCATCACATCAGACTATGTACTTACATATAAGTATATAAGTAGTTCCATTATCCAAATTTGGATGTTGTTATGTGGAGGACTACGACAAAGTAAATCTTCCAATTTTATGATTCACACAATTTTATTTCATCACATTTTATAATCTCATAATAATATAAAAAATATATTTTAAAAAACAATCAACTACTCCATTTAGCTTCTGTAGGGTAGAAGAGGGTACAGTTTAAAATTTTTCATTCTAAGTATACGGAAATATTGTGGAGAATTATGAAAACGCTATTACGAGTACAGTAAATTTTTGAATAATAAATTTTCGCACCTTAAACGTTACGTTTTTCTTATTGAAAAATTTATTTGATAAAAAAATAAATTTTAATGGAATAGAAATTTTTTTTTTCCTTTTTATACCCGTATGAACGTTTGTGCGACGGGTATATTAAATTTGCCTACCGTTTGTAATATTTTGTAACGCTAATGTCTGGAATATAGAATCAAATGTATGTTTTTGATCAGCGTGGAATTCTGAGTCGATTAAACCCCTTGTGTTCGTCTGTCCGTCCAACCATCCCAATGATAACTCAAAAACTAATTGAGCTAAAGCCACCAAATTTTCACAAATAATTTAAAATGGTAAATTCCAGAACCCTTAATTGAAATTTCATGTGATTGAGGCAGTGATTCTGGTAATTGCCTTGCAACTGCAAAATGTAGTCGTGTATTCTCGAAACTATTGAAAATGATGAATTCCAAAACCCTTTATTGGAATTAGATGTGATTGAGTCAATGGTTCTGGTAATTGCCCTACAGCTGCAAAATGTAGTTGTGTATTATGGAAACTATTGAAATTATAGTGCTAAAATTTTGCATAAACGAATAAAACACAATTGGATTACGAATAGAACATTTTGGCAAAATTAATAATTAATTAAGCTGACACGGTCAACTCTACCTATTCTCATTTAAATTAAATTCCTTTAAAATTTATGAGTTACATTGTCTAAAAATGGTAGAATATTATATTAACATACGGAATATTTATTGTTTATGGTAGTTTTGTGTCGTTTCACTTATATAAGGAAACATGTAAAATAATTGGGTGCTCTCCATAATCTTGTCACGCATACAAATAGGTACTTGCATCTTTTAAAATTTGAGATGACAACTTAGAACCCATCGATTATTTATTTTAATTCTCAATTACGTGTCTTCGTTTTTACCAGCCATTTAATTTATAAGTATACAGATAATCTTTAAAAGTGTTGCTGTTAGCCGGAAGAAAATCCGTCAAGAACTTAAAATATGTTTAGAATAACAATTAATTTTTAAAATTATTGATCTCGTTAAACAAAACTTTTACTCTTTTCCGAATTTCAATAATTCTTTAAGGCTCCAGCACAATAAACTGTGCAAAAGCTGGTATTTTTACGATTTTAAATTACTTTTGTAAAAAACGAAGAATTAATTTCTGATATGTAACTAGAACTTGCTATGTAAAAGGGAGGCAGTGGAACGGAACGAATAATGAGGTAAAATTATTAATAATCAAAAATCAACACTCTTATTAAAATAAACAAATTGTGTCCAAAAGAATTTTCATCACTCGCACAGAATCTGTTAAACAAAATTTTTGTTTTATAAATTGAATTTTTTTTTAAAAAATAGTCCACTCTTTCGCTACCCAAAAACAATATCATTTACCCAACTTTGTAAATTCTTTTGGAAGGAAATTCTTGGAAAATTTTTGTGGCTTTTAAAAAAGTTTATGAAAAATTATTTGTAATTTTTTTTTTTTTCTTCATCTTTAATTCTAAGCTTTTTAATCTTTTCAAATTTAAAAGGAAATAAAACAACAAAATTATATTGAACCTAAAAGTAGCGCCCCAACTTGACTTTTATGAAAAACAACAAAAAAAAGGAAGAAAAATAAGAGAAAAATTTCAAAAATAAATAGAAGGAAAAGTTCAAGAAATCGGGAAACATCTGTTGTGCTATAAATTTGAAGATTTTCAGCATTTCGCTTTTTTTCATTTATGTTTGTATTTGTTTTTGAAGAAGAAATGGATTTCGAGGAATTGTTTTTTTTTTTTTTTGTAAATGCCTTCTTGCTTTCTTGTCTTTTTTTTCAAATTTGCTTCTGGTTTCATTCTTTTTTTCAATAGATTTGATTCATTTCAAATTTGAAAGGCAAAAGAAACTATAAGAACCATATGGAAAGTTAATTTATTTGTTTGCCTTTTGATTATAAATTTTTTTTTTTTTTACAAGTCTTTGATTCTTGTTATCCCCATATACGGAATGTTAAACAGGGTCCACGCATTAAAAAATTAAAAAAATTTTTTTAGACCATATTTTGTCTATATCATGTTGAGTACTGTAAGAGCAAAATTTTTATAAAAGAACCTCAATTAATCATTATTTTAAAGGATTTTTTTGACCATAGAGTACATTGCTTTTAATGTGACAAATCTAATTTAAATATTAGATTTGAAAACAATAATTGCCTAGTGGATATTGTTAATTGCATTTAATTTTCAAATAATAGGCTTAAAAATGCTCTACTCTGCCTAATTTTAGCAAAGCATTCAAAAGAGGTTTCTGTGTTACAAATTTTACAACTTTGCCTCATTCTTACTTCAAAAAACAAATAAAATAAGAAATTAAAAATTATCACAAACAAATCTCACTTTTTAAATCATTTATTTTAAATGTCGAAGAGTACACGTTCACATTTCACTGAACTCAAATAACACTTTGTTGTTGTGAAAAAGAAATTGACAAAATTGAAAAGCATTTCTAATTGTTCTTTAGTTATTAAGTCTTCTCGTTAAAATTTAAAGCGTAATCACTTGCCACATTTTCAATACTGAATTACTGACGTGAAAACTGTGAGTGTAATCTTCGCCGACGAATCACTTTTTTGATCGCAACTCCCTAACAATGATATAAAGTTTGCCCACTTTAAATACGAGTATCAAAAAAGTGCTTTAACAACTTTAATACGATATTTTGAATGAAAAAGAATGCAACGTAATAAAATGACTAAGAATATTTTAACACTACAACATTCTGTAATTTACGTAAGACATAAAATTAAATTTTATCAAGTCACCCTATTTTTCCACTTATTTTTTTGTAGAGATTAGTTGAAGCATTTAATATTTTTTTATTGTTAATTTGATATCAATATTGTGTGGATATTATTATGGCGCGTACATTTTTTAAATAATTTAAAGTGACTTGACAATGAAAATGATGCGCGTCTCATATAAAAGACGATTTCATATATGAATGAATGAATATCGTCTACATTATAATTTTTTTTCCCCTTATTTTTTGATAAATAGAGCTACTTAATCTTTTCAGAGTACAGATCTTATACGTACATATAGGTATACATATTATTATAGTTTATTTTTTGTACATAATTGTGTACATACATACATATAGAGAACTTTTTTTAGACTTGCTTTTGTTTATAGAACTTTAAATTATTTAAAAGCCAATTATTGTTTTCTTTATTGTCGAAATTTTTTTCATTGTTTTTGTAATTGAAATCGAATAATATTACAAACTGATGACATTAATGTTTATTTAATATTATTTTTCTTAAGAAAAGTTTAAAATTAAATTTAATAATCTTTAATTTTATTTAATTACATTAAAACTGATTGTTTTATGTACACATATACACACATTTTAATCCTTTTACAAAATTTTTGTGTTCTTCAGTTCCTTCCTAAACTATTTGAGTGCTCAGATTTTGCACGCATTATTCAAAACAATTTGAAAAGAATTCCAATTCCATTAGAACAATAATTGCAGAATTTAAATTTGAATTAAAATTTTTTTTTTTGGAATTCTTAAAACAATAGCACACATACAGTCAAAGTATTGTTCTCTTGAAAAATTCCTAATTTTCTCGCTATTTCTCTAATAATTACGAACAAAACTTATGTATATTTGTACATAATAAATCCTTTTTTTATTTCTACAATATACAAAAATTCCTTAAGGACACAAAATGAATAAAATCTTAAACACATGCGGGTATATATATGTGGCTGAATTATTTGTGAAACGTACATATAAAAGTGCATAATATTGTATTTAGCATGACTATATTGAATGCAGACAAAAACCGATCATGTAACATTAGAATGGAATATTTCATTTTCTAATATCTCTATATACAACCACAGTTTCTCTATGTACAGGAATTTACTCAAATTTTAAGGACTATAATTTGTTTAGATAGCTTAAAGGTTTTTCACTTTATAAATTTTTTATAATACTATTGTTATTATTATTATGTAAGTATATATATGTATAAATATATCTATGTACACAATACATAGGTATAAAATTTCAAACAAAATTTATTTTAACATTACGACTATGTATAGAGCCACCATAATTTTTCTCTCTCTATAATGCACCATTAAATAGTAAATTATATATTATGTTGAGCATATAAATGTGTTTTGTTTTTATTGAAAATAGTTTATATAAAATTCTCCACCTACCTTGTTGCATAATATGCAGCAGCTGCCATAACTTGTGCGGTTTCTTCACTTAAATCGATTTTACTATTACGATAAAAGAATTTTGCAATACCATTTGGTGTATCAGTTGAATATGTTTCCATATTATTAAATTCATCGTAATTATTTGGAACTGTTATTAAATTAGTTGCAGTAGAAGGAATTAAAGTTGTTGTAAGTGCACCAGTAGCAATCATTGGACCAACAATATTATTTAATTGGATTTTATGTTGATCAGGAGATAGTATAATACCGGCTGATAATTGTTGTTGCTGTTGTTGTTGTTGCTGTTGTTGTGCGTATTGAATAATCAAATGTTGATTTTGTTGTTGATGAAGATGGTCTTTACCAAATTCTGTTAATTTATTTTCATTTGTTTTTGAAGCTATAGTACTATTATTATGATTATTGTTAACACCATCAACTACTGGTATACAAATATTAGTTGAATCAGAATTTCCTTTACTATTTTTATTATTACTATTATTTACAAGAATTGCTATTGTAGCGGAAGAAGAATTATTATCCTTATTTGTAGTTGTTGTTGTTGCTGTTGTACAATTGCTAGCATTTGAAGTACCACGAATATTTGAAATTCCTGTATCATTTTTTAATTTATTATTATTGCTATTATTTGTAGACGACGAGGAGGACGAATTTAAAACTTTTGATACTTCTTGTCCGGAAGAAATGGTATGATTATTAGATTGTTGTTTTTGTTTTTGCTTTTGCTTTTCATTATCAACATCTGACGATTGTAATTTTGATTGTTGTTGTTGTTGGATCGAAGATACTAATGCTGGTTGCTTTTGCTGTTTTTCTTTTTGATTTGGTTGCTTTGTATGACTTGAATGAAATTGAATTGAATTTTTATAATTTTCGGTTGTTTGTGTTTTATTAGGATGATGTTCTCCATCTGCATTTGTTCTTTGCATTTGCATTCCTGTATTAGACTGAGTAACATTATTTACATTTGATAGTATATCGGGTGGTGGAATATTTGGAGGTGGTGGCAAATTTGGAATTGGAGGTGGTTTTTGGACTAAAGAACCATTTGTAGTATTGCTATTATTAAAAGTATGTTCATCATTTCCAGAAGTAATAATTTTTCCTTTTTGATTTAATAAATAATTTTGTTTATTTTCACTACCATCTACCGGTACATTTGTTGCTGAATTTTTATTACTATCTTTATTTTGATTTCTTTGAGATTTACTTGAAGAACGTTTACGAAGTACACGATTTGTTCCACTTGTACGAGTATGTTGTTGCTGTTGTGGTGGATGTAGAGGCGGGTGCTGTACTGGTGGGTGTTCTGGAATAACTTCGTAAAGATGTCCATATGGAGAAGATGATCTATCATTTAAATCATTATTTTCATTGACAGCAAGTCGATTTTGTAATATTTGTTGATGTGTGGGATAAGAAATTGGAGTTGCATTTTGAGTTGGATAGTGATTCGCTTGATTTATTAAATTTCTTTGGCACATCTGACTGTTGTCTTGTAAGTGATTTGGTTGTTGTTGCTGATAGCTGCAGTTTATTGTAGCGGGGGGTCTAAATGAAGCATGCAATTGCTGATCTTGCGGCTCAAATTGCAATTGTAATTGATGCTCATAATTAATTACTTGCGGCGTTGATTGTTGCTGTTGCTGTTGTTGTTGTTGTTGATGCTGTGCATTAGAAGGCTGATTTAATGTTTGCGGTTGAGGATATCCAGAAACATGCATTCTAACTGTTTGCTGCTTATGTTCTAAACTACTTAAACTGAATTCATCATCTAATATGGTGGTAGTTGCAGCAGAAGCAAGACGAGACAAATTACCAGAATTTGATGTTGAATGATTCATGCTATGAATAATTGTAGATTGATGATAATTATTATCATCATTTCCCATGGCAGTAATAAATGATGAAGAATTTTTTGTCACAGTTAATCCTAATGGAATTTGACCACTATTACGTGAATGTGCATTCAACAGAGCAACATTTTCAAATGTTGTTTGATTAAGAAAATGCTTTTCATATATTTCCGCTAATAAATTAGTAGCAGTTTTCGATATTTGATGAAAATTTTGTTGATGTGTTTGTTGTTGCTGTTGTTGATTTCCACTAGTAGATCCCAATGGAATTTTACAATTATTTGAATGATAGTAATGTCCGTTAACGGCTGATATAGGAATATGATTATTTTGTTGATGTTGATATTGATGATTATTTTGAAGATGATGATGGTTATTATGATTCGAGTGACCGTTTGTATTAATTGCATTTTGCAATGATGGTGGTAATGGAGTCGGATGTTGTTTAATATGTTGATTCTGTTGATGAATAAAAAATATTCCACCATTTGATTCATTTGGATAATCACAACCATTTATTGATGATGATTTTATATTATTCGAATTTTTTTGCTGTTGATTATTTGTCAACCAATTTGAATTATTGTTTTGCTGGCGAAATGGTTGCGGTATAGGACAGAGCATCATCGAAGCACCCTTTATAGGAGCAGTTTCTTGTTCATTACATTTGATAGCATTTGTATTATTGGTACTGTTATTTGTATTATTTGATTGATTATTACTACCACGCCAAAATCCAAATGATTGTTTAACTATACCAGTTATACTGTTACTTTCAGAATTTGATTTTGTATTAGTTGTTGGAGGTAGGGGTTGTGCTGCGGCTGCAATAGAAGTTGGCTCTTTTGTAATACAATTTTGTGTCATACAATCTAAAGGATGTCCAACAGATGCGATTGATGCTGCTGCATTAGCTGATGATTGAGTTACATAAACAAAATTAAATGATGAATTCGATGTATTCGATAAGTGTTCGCGATTTTGCTGTTGATGTAACTGTTGTTGTTGTTGTGGCAACGACTGTTGCTGTTGTAATGATATATTATTATGTGAAGTATTTTGTAATTGATGTGATAAATCATTATTATGGACACCATGATATTGAATAAGCGGTTGCGGTTGATGTTGTTGTTGCTGTTGTAATTGTAACTGATGACGATGATTTTGTTGCTCACGTTTCAATGCTGATAAACTTGAACGCCGTGGCCGTGGATTGACAGATGCCTGAAAATATTTAAGAGAAATAATTAATTTTTTAACACTTTATAATTGCACTTAGATTTGATAATTTAGAAAAGATCTGAAGCCATTATTTTAATTATTCATAATAAAATATTACAAAGTCTAATACATTATGTACATACATACATGTTTATGTGTCGAATTTGATTAAATATAAAAATATTCAAATCTCCTTGATAGAATTTCTAAATACAATTAATTACATACATTTTCAGATAATACAAAATTTATAAATTTATTTGCTTGTAGATTACATTCAAAATAGCATTATTTTTTATTCTAAAATTAAAAGATGAAAATTTTCATTGAAGCTATAAAAAATTTAAAATTTCTATTTATAGAAATATTTCTTATTTTGATGAATACAATATGGTCTATAACTTTAGAAACAATTTTATTGTTCATTATGTCGGAACCAAAAAAATAAATACAAATGTCTTGGCATACGGATGCATATTGCAATGTGTAATTTCGCTATTGGAAATATCCATTTCAAAAATAATAAAGAATAATAATTGAAAAGCAAATTGCAAAGTGAAATTAATTGAAGAGCGTTATAAATTATAGTAAACAACGAAGAAAAGAATTGTTACACTTTAAAATACCATTGTTTATTTACCGACAATAGTATATTTATTTTAATGTTCTTTGAATTTTCCAAATAATATTGGTACCAAAAATGGCTATTCTTTACAGTAATATTATAAATTAATTATGTTTACAAGAACATCAAGTGAAATTGAATGAATACCTTATTAATGGTTTGGAATTTTATTTCCTACCTATAGGTACATTATGAATATTAGGAGTGACTGTTAAATAGCCAAAAATTTTTCAGTGATACTAAAATTAATTATATACGACAGAAATATCATCAGTCAATTTCTTTGTTATCTGAATAAGTAGATCTTTAAGAAGGCTTCTACAAGTATGCTTTCAATAAGTATGCTAAGTATATAAGTAATTTGCAATACATACTTTCAGTATATTTTACTTGATTTGAATTAGATTGAGTTGAATTTCGTATAAGAAATATATAGGAATAATAAGGGACAATTCATCTTTCGATCGTTTTTAGGTATGTCGCAAACTGTTATTAAATCCATATTGTAAAAGGCTTCCGTTTTGCAGTGATTATGTATTGATAGCTTTATGTCCTATACATAATTCGCAAAATAACTAAAGATCGCAATATAAAACTAAAACCAAAAAAAAAAAATGAACTAAATTTAGAATATCGTTTCAATATACTTACAAAAATAGGTGCTGAAGTTCCAGGATCCGAATTAGAATTTTCTCTGCAAAAACAAAAAAAAAATACAAAAATTAGCGCCAAATTCAGGTTGTTGTAATATTTTAAGGTTTCTTTATTTATAGAAAATGCTAAATAAAAAAAAAATGCTAATAAAAAAAAAGGTTCTTTTATAATTTCATTTTTTTTTATTAAAAATCATTTAATCCAAGTGTCACTCGTCTAAGTAGAATCAATCTCAACTCAATTTTAAAAAGTGTATTCACTTTCATTAAAAATTTCTTACATTATTTTTTATTGAAACATTTATTTAGTATGTACGTATTCTTACAAGCCATAACACAAAATTTTTCTCATACATTTTCTATTTCATTAAAATCTTCCTGTACACTTCAAAATTCAAAATATGCACAATTTCACATGCATGTTTCGTTTCATTTTCAAATGTTCCATAAAAATTTAATTTCATACAAAATGACAAATCCCAAAGTGACAAAAATTATGTATGTTCTCCCAAAATCTTCATAATACATTAAATCGTATTTTTCATAGTTTCACACCAAAACTGTATATTTAAATATTTATAACATAGACAATAACCATTTTAAAAAAAATTATTTTCGATTCAATTTATGTATATTTATCGTGTAAATATTATACCGTATATTATACAAATACCGTATATACAAAATTTATTTTTTTTTCACTGCAAACTACAAAATAAGTATGCAGTAAAAGCGCTTTATAGTCGCTTGGCTTCTGATTTTTTCTTAAATTTATTCATAAATATTTATTCTAAAAGTTAATTACAGTCAAAATTAAATTATTTCATTTTTTATTTCCAATCGCAAAATTATAATACATAGCAATACTTTTATGTATTAATTTTTATACATAATTTATTTCCCTTCACTAACCTTTAGTATTTTTATTTTCTATTCTACTTAACCACAGAACAAATTTAAAGCTAACACCAAAAATATTCTCCAACCAAAATCTCAACCAAATTTTTTGATAAAAGATCCCAGTAAAAATAAATATAAAATTATCTTCTCACACATCAAAAAAAAAAACCGAGACTTTAAGCTTAAAAGAAACGAAATATTTTTAACACAACTAACTAATTACTGCAAAACAAAGTATAAATCTGAACTCTTCCAAAGCTCAAAATCGAATGAAAAATGTCTTCCCGCTTAACTGAATTAAGTAGCTCAAAATCGAATGAGAAATGTCTTCCCGGTTAAGGTGATTTATGTAGACGTTATATTAACGGGACCGACCAAAATGAATTGACGTCGTGAATTTCACCGACGTTTCATTTGGTTGGTCTTGTCATTTGTTTCAATGTGTGCTTAATATTATATGCAAAATTACTGAACAGCTGATTTTGCCCGTCTACTGTTGTTCTGTTTTAACAACGGAAATCGTTTGCCGTTGCCGTTAATCGTTTTGTTTCTATACAAATTAATTCAAATTTTGACAATCATGGCCGGAAACTAATATGAACCTACACAGTTTTTTATCTGTCTTAATTTAAACGGGACATTAATAATTTTTTTTTGCTATAATTTTAATAATACACTAATAATTTCAATACCAATATGAAAGCAAAAATTAAAACAAAAAAAATTTGTGTACGTTGTCAACTTTTAATTTTTAAAAGTAATGCGTATTGTAGGTCTCATATTTCAAATAATATACATAATTTAAAAACATGCATTTAAAAATATTTTGACAAAAAAATATACGCAACATGCGTTTTTTGAGATCGAGGGAAATAATCGAAAACCAAAAATATTGCGTTAAAAAATATTTAAACGGCAGCACTATTAAATTGATTATGACGTGACTGTTTTTTTTTGTATGTACATTATGTGCACTAGTGTTGCGTTTAAGTTTAAATTATATTTAAGTTTTGCCTCCTAAATTCGTTGGGCCCAGTGCTCTAGCAAGTAGCACTTAATTTAATTTTATTTATCTAATAAGATTCAGTTGTAATCAAGGAGCTAATTCACAAAAGCGTGATGGATAAAATATATTATACTCAAACCGCAAGAGGACTTAGAATGATTATTTTTCATAATTTTGAATATGTTGTTCAGGGGTAAGAAAGACTTATTTTGTGCAGAAAGAAAGAGCTGATTAGATAATTAAAATGATATATTCTTTTAGAAACTCAAAAATTACAAAGGAAATCCGTTATATATGCCGGTTCGCCAGAAAAGAGCATTGCAAAGCATATGTGATTATGCAAAAACGAAAAATTGCAACTTTAAATGAAATTCACACTCACGAACCAAAGGATACCGTTTCAGTTGCTGTGAATTTAGCAATAGAAAAAATGAAAGTTTTAGTTTCAAAAACTAGTACGACACCTAAGAAAGTAAGCTAAAATTATAGTATGTAAGCGAAATTAATACAAAAGTAATAACAAAATAACCAAATTGCAGATGAATAAAATTTAGTTTGTAACCAGAAAATTCGAACAACTTTCGGCAGTTGTAGATACATATAAATATATGTAGGTACCTACTGACGAATTTACTTATTGAATAGCTTTACTTATTGAATAGAATTTACTTATTGATAATTTTGTGAATTCATTATTAGTTATTAGTCTATTGATTAAGGATAATTGATACAGCAAATTATAAATTACTGTATTATATCTCAAAATACTCTTATGGCTGACAGTGCTTCTGTAATAAACACCTACTTATATTATTTGGAATTATAATTACATGGGCAACAAATACATAATTTAGATTTTTGAACAGATATTACATAAGAGTATATATAGAATAGGTACATACTTTTAATTAACAAATAATGAATTACTAAAATCTAAATTATCTAAAATCACTAGTCTGGATAGCGAAGATTCTTGTTCTTCGAAATGCCTGTTCTCTTATATTTTCATGGTTGCATGTTAATAAATATAATTTTTTTTACTTTTACATCTCCTTGGGAGGCCTATATGTTATATTCCTTCTATTGCAATAATTTTTTTTTTAATTATGTACGGTCTTCTAATAATAATTATATAAGATTTTAATTATGTAAAATTATTTCAATTAGATTTATTATTTTCCTTTTCAGATAATGCAAAAAATTATACCAAATTTGCCTGTTGCAGTACAATCGAGTCTTCCAGGAAAATCATCTATTCAAAGATGTCTCTATCGTGCTCGGAAGAAACAACATAAATTAAAAAATCATTCAATAACCAAGAATGGTGATAAACAGAAAAAATAACAATCTTCTTGATATTAATACGGATAAGTACGGTTTGAGTTCATTAACAATGCAAGGTTAGGTAGGTACACACTTGCTTCAATATATTTACTTAAAAATTTTTGAAGAACAAATTAAAATATAGGTCTAAAATATTTCACAATTTTTAACTGTTAAGTTATTGAAATGGATTTTTTTTGTTAAATTAATTGAAAGTGTTTTTGAGATTACTTGGAATAGTGAGAAGTTTTTAAATAACAATTTACGATATGTTTATTGTAGACAAAATATAAAGGTTTCGTAAAAATTCTTTTTAGAACTAGCATGAACTCAAACCAAATTATACTTGGTGGTAATGGAAAAATCATAATATTTCCTTTTAGTATTTAATTTTAAAATTTCCTTTTTTATATTGTAAGAATGTAAGGTCAATGATGTTTATCGTAAATTACATGGAATTTGTTCTGTTAAAAGAAATGTAGGGATATTT